GTTGTCGTTTGAATTAATCCGTGCCTCACTGGCCATCAGTTTGACGTATCTAGCAAGGGACGGGCAACTCAACATTTTTCCATTTTTTGGTTTTATTTTAAAGAAACTGAAAGCAATATAACTTCCAAAATGGTACTACCACTGGTTTTGTTTTGGTGGGGGGGGGGGTAGGGATTTCCACGTATGAAAAACTTTGTGACTTGTAGGGAGAAATCCTTTAAATATTTCGTTTAACTGTAAAAATATTACAACCCATCATAACCGGACATTTTTACCCAGCGCAACGTCGGAGTGGTCATGATTGAAATTATTGCTGCAGAGTATAACAACATAAAGGCCGGTTCAAACTCCGTGCAAATGCGAAAGCAAACGAGAATTTGTGACGTCAGATCAAACATTCGCTTTGCGAATTCGTAAAGGTTGAACTCATTTCAATTCTAGCGAAACTTTGCTATCAAGTTGTCGTGACGTCAAATTCGCTTCGCATTCGCCTGAAGTATGAACCGACCTTAATCTCGCCAAAGGCTTCTTTCACAGGAACGTCCTTGTGTTTGCCTCTCACATGTAGCTCTGACATAAAGTTAGAATAACGCATGGGGAATTCGGCGAAACATTTTACATGCGGAGCGCAGCTCTCTCTCTAATAACTTGCAACAGTTTAATTCTGACTTTCTGAGCTACTGTGTTCAGCATAATATCAAGCAGGGCCATGGTGGTGATACATAAACATTGTGTTAAAATACTTTCCATGTACCGTACATGATTTTTTATACCTTAAAATCCTGAATTGAAAAAAAAAGTCTTCCACAGACATCAAAAGAGAACGTGGGAGTCATTTCCACTCATCTGGCATGTTTCTCACTAGTGCTGTTCTCTCTCATTCTAGAGGAGAATAAATCTATTCACTACACACAACAAAATGTTTTGGAATAGATAATTCACTTTTATTTGAGAGGCCAAAAACCGCATGTTTATTCCCCACTATTTCGAGCTGGCGCTCTATCTACCAACCATTTGTCCTCATTGAGTCGGAACAATGACGTCACAGAGTCATTACTAAAGTCGTGAAACCTTTTTAACCAATGACCAAAGCTGAAATATGTTTATGATTTGGCATACAATTGCCAGTGCATTCAATTCCGATGCCTTACAGAAAGCTGGTTTTGCAAAATAATATCCTTCCATAAGATGCCCAGTTTTCCCTCTCATTTCCCTCATCAGCACAATGCTGTGGGCAAAGGTCAACAGCCCTCTCTCGGTAAAGTCATCTTCCGTATCTACGGAGCAAGGATGGCCTGGGTAGGGATTCTGAAACTGGCCGGCGACGCTGCCGGTCTTATAGGCCCACTCTGCGTGTCTGGTATAGTGCTGTATGTCGCGGATATTTACTACAAACAGGACAATGGGGAAAAGGTGAGATATTTAGAATTATAGTGACAGAAATAACCTGAGTTCATCATGAAGTAATACCTCCCAATAAGGCGACAGCAAATTTGAAGAATTCTTTTTTATTTTGATAAGCCTGCACCAATTGCAGTAAACAACAGTAGTTTCTAATTAGGACCTGCTAAAGTACAATTTAAAACATTATCAATTTTTAATAAAGTTCAATACTTTCCAACATTTCAATAAATAACAACAGCACAATTATGACAAGTTGGCTGGGTCAATTTGATGACCTAAAGTTTATCTCGGGAAATTTTGGGGGCGTTGTAGATGGTGGCCCCGCTTCCAGGTTTTTAAGATGTGACACTTGCCTCTCCCCTCTTTTCTCCAGAATATCGAGATGATTTCAATATTTTGGGGTGGGCTATTATGCCATTTGCTCGTGTCTGGTCGAGGCATCTCAGGTTTAATCGCCATTTTGCACCTCCCTTTTGGTAGAAGCTGGACCTGCCTCTGAACGCGCCAGTGGCGTACTAAGGGTGAAGATTTCGAGAGAGCACCAGAGGTGCACACATTGTAATTCATATTGGCGCTGAAATAAATAAACCGTGGCTTGTACAGAGGTTTGGTATACTTTAAGAATCCAAGGGAAGGGGGCACGATTTCTACAAGGGGTACCCTCCCTCTACGCCCCCTGTGAATACTGGAAAGCGTCAGTTAAGAAGCTGGTTAGATATTTACCTTTGGTAGAGTGTTTCTCACAAGTTGCATGAATTTGTTTTCTTTTTTTATTTAGGTGGATCCTCATTTCATCGATGTTTCTGAGTTTGTAGCCAACGGTTTTGTCTTAATGGGAATCACATTCTTTGCTGTGTCGTTCCAGTTCATAGCAATAAACAAATCCCTCTTCTACTCTGCATTTTACGGCATGTGTCTTCGCTCAAGCATACAGGTAGGTGGGACTCATTTATATCCAACGTCGCTTCAGCATGCTTGCGTTAAGATGATATAATTTGAAACCCAATAAGCGTCACACAGTACGGGATAAAGTGAGAACTATTCAGGATAAGCGTGTAGTGGTTTTCCCCCCACCCAATGATATTTACTAGCCTCTCAAGGGCATGAGCGGTAATTTTTACACGTCGAAGGAGGGAGAAATTGTCACGAACGGAGAACTGTGGTTCTAGGCCTACCCGTTTGTCGGCAGTATACCAACGGGTAAAGATTGAATAGCTTTCTGCCTAGAGAGGAACATACGAGAGCTATATACACGACTCTAAGCTGGTTTACTCTGATCCTCTCTTTCAAATAGATACAACACAATTAATGAGGAATTGTCACCGTGACCAATGTGCACACCAATATCATGCGCCCCGAGAGGTTTATTCCGCTTGGGTCTGAGGGTTACTGCAGTAACTTTGTGAAATTACCAAAACTTCTCTCAGCATCAACCCAATTAGCACACCTCACAGCGGAGAGTTAACAGAATCAACCTCCACGCTGAAAACCTCTATAATTACTGCACTTCACAATAATCATGTGACCACAGGTTAGATATTGTCTCCACTATAACCTAGTTTACGGATTAACAGCGTCAATGAGCTCTCTGTAAAGCTCTTGGATCATATCCTAGGCAATACACTGACTAAACCTCGAGATGCCATATTACCGGCAACAATATCGCCCGACTGACTATTGATCTCTAGTGTCAGCCTCATCTGACCCAATGTTCACGAGAAACACTCAACTTGACTCTAGCTGGCGCAATCCCTAGCACGTTAACGTTTCACTGAGAGCAGTACTAAGAACTTAAGCTCAGTTTCATTATGCACAGAACTTCCCATGCACTTTGGCTCCGCCAGCCACGGGAAAACAACTAATTAAGTTAATCTCACAACCTCTCGTCCTTGATGGAGATTGTACGGTTCAAGAGTATGACCCCCTTAACTTAACCTACGTCCTTTGCCTCGCCAAACTTTCACAGCGTGGCTTACTCCACGTCTCGATAGCAGGTGTTACGAACATGTGGTTTGTGTCGCACCTGAGGGCGCCTTTATATATTGTACATTTATACCACAATTAATCACCAACCAGGCGTTACCCTGACGACTCGTGCTGTCACACGCGTACTAAGTATTCTGACTAGCATCCAATCAAGCGGCGATGTTAAAGGTGTATATGACAACCCTTACTTTATACTTTCACACGTCAACGAGGACGGCACACTGATACGTGTATAAATACGGTATCTGTACTCGCAAACCAGCGGCATATCCAGCTTCTAGTGTCGGGGGGGGCAAATTCAAAAGTGAAATGCGGCTTCATCATTCAGCATGATATTGAGAGAAAACAAATATCAAAAGCCTTACTCGCGGTCCCGACACTCTCGCTTTTATTTTGCTAGTGATGCTTTCTTAGGGTTTTGATGCTCATATGTCCTCCCGCTCCCCAGCTGAAGTAAGTCCAACATCCCCACTACCGTTGAAAAGGGAAAGAAAAAATGGGGAAAATAATAGAAAGTAACTAAAGTGCACCAACGCCATTGTATACAATACATGATGTGTATAATGTTTCATGGTGCTTTTCCCTTGTCCAAAAAACAGAGGCATAAATATATCGCTGGCCTGACACCGACCCTGGAAAAGTTCCAGGATCTACCCCCTGATCCGGGAATCACTCAGGCCTGGTATCCTTACGACCTACGGAGGGGAAGAAGTGCATTCAATGTCACTCAAAAACAGAGAATACAAAATCCATAAATACGCTGTTCTTCAGCAATGTAATACATTTTACAAATCTGTATTATGGACACCGCCCCTATATAATGACATAGGGTGTCAGCCCATCCCACGAAATGTTCAAATTTCCACGGCGGGGCAAGTCATCCCCACACAACTCTCACTTCCTGATCCCCCCAATTTCTGACACAAAATTTAATTTATGACCCCTGAAATAGGCGAATGTCTCACTACATTCACAACCTGATAGAGCATTTCAATCTAAACTGCGAAAACGGGCAAACGCAAACCAAACCCTGCCGATGCGCTTTGTTTTGTTTAGCCAATAACAGAGACCCTCCTGTATATTTAAATGGTCGGCTAACTGCTTACCAAGTCTTTATTATCAATCTTAGTCTCATTCATTAGACCATTCTTCTCGAAACAACTTCTTGTTAGTTGTGATAATATGGTGGTTTTTTTTATAATATCTGTTCGTCAGTGGCATAACTAGGCCTGAATGTCTGGGGGCATCCAGGGATGCACACATTTTTTCTTTTTCAAGGAAGCACCGCAAGAAAATAAGCTGTAGCTGCATTTTCAACGCAGAGTATTCACAGATTTCAAATGGGGGCACCCGGGGGTGGGCATCTGCTGGGAGGGGCACGTTCCCACTGTACACCCTCCCCCCCCCGTAGTTACGCCACTCCCTCTCCTCACAGACATTGGTATACGAGAAGTCATTGAGTCTCGCAACATTTGCCTCGACCGGTGGAGAAATGACAGCGGGTCAGATCACCAACCACATGTCGACCGACGCTATGAATCTGCTCTACATGTTTCAGCACCTTCAGTACCTCTGTATCATGCCTTTTTTGGTGAGTACAAAACTGATCATCCGGGTAAATTTTGAAGCCTATTTAACCAGTTGTTCCTGTTATATACTGCTTGTATAATTAGGCCCCTATCCACGACAACAGATTATTAGTTTTGGGGGGTCTACATAGGGTTTAGTTCATGGTTGTATTTTCTCTTTTTTAAAGGAACAGCGTAAAAAGCAACCTTTTATAAAATTATTTCATTTAACCTCTTATTCAAGCAAAAATAGAAGTGTGATTTAACTTTTTCATCCAGTAGAACGGACTACCTTTTGCTTCAGGTCTTGAATGTTTTCAACGTAAACAAAACTTTGTTTCCGTTGAATTCGTTATTATCATACATATATGCTGAAATGTTGGCCTCAGAAAAATAGGCCTATCGAACAAGGTGATAGATAGACTGGTTGATAGATCGATCGACAGAAGCCGTAATCGAATGATTCAACTGTCAATCGATATTTGACTGGATCGCAGACGCAGTTCTATATTTTTTACGCCACCCTTTAACTCTCTCTACTGCTCTTTTCACTTTTTAAAAAAATTTTGCCTGGGGGAGGGGCTGGACAAAAGTAAATCCCTGTAGAACCGCGCCTGCTCGATCGATAGATCGACTTACCCGTCTGACCAACTGATAAAGAGGCCAGCAGGCCTGCCAATTAATTCCTGTAACATCAATGACCTCAAGCTTTCACAGACACCGGCTGTGGTTATCCAAAAAACACACAGGCCGTTTTATGTGCAAATCCAGTTTTGTTGGTATATATGGTAATTTCTGACAGCCTGCTCTGTTCAGTCCGTGAAGACAGCAGGTCATGCAGAGCAAGTGTTATAGCGTACCTTTTTGAATCAAGTTCCTCTCGTTCGATTTTACCACATTTTACCATGTGATCACAATGCTTTTTTTATTATTTCTCTGTGCAGATGGCACTTGTTCTGTATCTCTTGTACAAAGCTGTTGGCGTGGCGTCACTTCTAGGAGCTGTCGTCTACTTTGTGGTATTTCCGATGCAGTTATATATTGCCAAAGTCATGGCAAAACATCAGAAGAGGGCCTTGGTAATCAATGAATTATTCTGTCTTTTAAAAGTTTAAATTAAAATTGATATTTGGGTGAGATGGGTGAGGGGTGGCTGGGGTTATTGGTACGTTATGACACCAGAACAGACATTAGAGCGACATGCTCCTTAACTACTAGAAAAGTACTGTCATCAATGTGGGCGATTCACAATAGAGCGCCCCCAAGACTTTGCAACATATTGACCAATCATGTGCGCGAAATCTGTAGACCCTTTCCAAACGCGCATCGGGTCGACAGATTTCGCGTACTGTGAATTGTCAACGCGTCGCAGACTCTTGGAGGCGCACTATTGTGAATCACCCGCATTCTTAGTCTGCTATGTGTAGAGAGAGAAATTTAGAAAATAAATGCAGGCAAAGTTCCAGGGAGGGAGCTGGAGGCTACAGCCCCACCTAAACCTTTGTGTAGCCCGCCCCCAAAATGTAAAAATGAAAAAGCAGCAGCGAAAGTTGACGTCATGTGCAAAGACCCCAAATTGGCTGTAGAAACGCGCCTGAACAAGGGTATGTCACTGCTTTCTCAGCTTAAGTAAAACAAAATTGATGACAGTCTAGTGGGTTTGGATGACGGCAATAGGTGGCCAACAGAACTTTTGCCTGAGTTCAAGTGTCGCTCCACGGGCTTTAGTATGAAAAATCCTATTAAGGAGTGACATCGCCCGTTCAATACCCGCAGCATTTAATTAATGGCACTGTCGCCCTACCTTTTACTCAAGAGGAACTACTATCATTTCCCCTAGTACTTTGCTGATAAACGACTGAGATACTCTAACGAGATCCTCCAAGGCATCAAACTCCTGAAGTCGTACGGATGGGAGCATCTTTATCTTCGGGTAGTGGAGAACATACGGAATCAAGAATTGATGTCGCTGCTCAAGATGAACGTTGCATACGGATTGATCGGTATGACATGATGTACATGTAAATGTGGCGCTGCTGTTGCTTAAGAGTCTATTTTCACCGCTATGTAATAGGCAAAAATTAAAAGTTACCATGTGGAAATTTTCCATCAGAACAAGCATATAATAATGCTAAATTTAAAAGATGAAGACTCACTAGGGAAGCATGTCTTGTAGGAAACGACTGCAGTTATAAGAGTGCATTGTGTAAGATACATAATGTTTCCTTTGCATGGTTCTCATGTTTTATCTCCGGAGAGGGTGGGTAGATGGGTGAGTTGTGTAAAACATACTGAACATACACAGCTTGAAGAAAAATGCAGGAGGGTCTTGTTCAAATAGCTTTTAGTTTTATGTTTAGAAAATAGGTTAAAAAAAACCCGACATATAAACGGCTTTTTTTTATGAATTGAACGAGATATCATACAAATCTCTTAATGAAACTCACTTCTCTACATCGATTTGTGAATTCAGGGATAAATGCAGCTAAAAACGCAACTAATTCACTCTGATTATGTTGAATTAAACTGTTTTGTAACGCAAGTCCTTGAAGACTACGGCCGATTATATGCCATTCAGATTTTTTTAGACTATCATGACGTCATGATGATGTAATTGAGCATGGCAAAATATAGCCTGGCTATATTATTGGCGTAGATGTATTGTAGGGGGTTGGCGTACTTGAAAGAGGTAGGTCCTACTAACGACGGCGTCAGGCTTTTTATTTTTGACATTTGTTTTAAAAGGTCGCTTTCGATTTTCAGTAAAAGAAACTTGCTCAGAAATATCCCAAACCTTATAGACTTGTGGCTTAAACTGGCCCCGTGCAGTACAGTGACGTTACGTTGAAGTCATCACTTAAATTTATAAAGATATTTCACTATTTCTAAATCTGAAATTAGTTATAGCTTGTGCTTTGCAAGAAAGTTGCAAAAAAGCCCTGTGTTGCAAATAGATAGAAGAATTCTAGTCTTTAGTTTCCATCTTCATTAAATGCAAATAATATGAATATGATTTTCGGATGACATGCGATAAAATTCTGATATCAAACTGGAAATCCACATCACACGTTGAAATCGTGTTTATTCATAATACATAGATGCCCTGTCTAGTTCTCATTGTTTCCGTGGTGATATATCAGACAGGGTCGGTGGCAATAAAGGGTTTTCCCCGGTCTGAGCCCAAAAATAAAGGTCAGTTAAAACAGAGAACCACGGAATTAAAGGATGCCCTAAAAATGAGTTATTCACTCTACTCCTAGATTAAGTTTCATTCCACCCATTTCATTATTTCAGGGTTTGTCGTTGGGACAGCTCCCATGGTTGTTACGCTGCTGGTAAGACCCAATAATTTCTCAACTTGATCGACGTTTTGACCCACTGATTATTAATACCGTATAAACATAACTTAAAAGTTTCTTCAGAGTGTCAAATCTACAACCAGAGCGAAAGCTTGTCTTCGTCACAAGAAAAAACTTATATTTTCTGAGTGCCTGTAATGACCAAGTCTGCGCCTGTCTAAGATACAACTTTTAGCGGTTTACAAGAGCTCGTGGAAAAACTTGCACATGCTCCCATGGAATTCGAAACTATGACTTCCAACTTGCAAACGTAAAACATCTTACCAATGGACCTGCGAGCAAATCGAGGTCGGATTGTTGGATTGAATCAATATGGCAGCAGGCAGCTCAACTGTTGCTAATTTCTTATCAGCATGACCAGAGAAGAGCTATTTTTTGTCACCAAGACCAGGACCCAACACATGTGATAATCCTGTCTTCTGGCCTCAAGAATTATCAATTATCTTGTAAAAATCTTGTCCAAATGGCACACGGATGCAAGTAATAATAAATAAAAATAAAAAATAAGGAAGTAAATACAACGGGTTATTACCTTTCACTTATGCTATATTATTTTTGCCACGGCATCACCACGGTTATACCACAGACCTTCGGAACCTACTCCACCTTCACCGGTGAACCCTTAACCCCTGAGAAAGCCTTCTCCGCTTTGGCGCTCTTCAACCAGCTCAATTGGCCTCTCTTCATGTTGCCTTTGGTGACGGCCGCCTTTGTCAACGGCGTCATCAGCACCAAACGGCTGCAGAAGTTCTTCATGGCCCAGGAGGTGGAGAGAAGTTGGATGGGGCGTGACTGGAGGGACAGGGTGGAAGGGCGGGGCCGGTCCAATTACGTAAGACACGACTACACTTGCCCTGCAAATACCATGTATTTTCACGTAGTGCTCATGACATTGATGTTCTAAGCCAGGAGACGCCATTGCCAGTCTTCATTAATGTAGTACCGTCAGGGAGTCCACCTGGGCTAGCTCATATCCCAGGCCTGCTCGTCGGGGACATATCAACGTTAACGCCCTCAATCCTCCGATTTCAGTATGACTTTACATATCCCTCTAGGGAGTTTGGGTCAATGATTCCTCAGATATTTCGTAATGTGCTGTATGGGTAACGTTCGACGAGAAAGAGAGAGGGGAGACAGGGGAGAGAAGCAGTAACTGCCTGCTTGTGTCTCATGTATTGTGACTTTCTACGTCACTCTGCTTCGACCACCTCTTGGAAAATTTCAGATTTTACCTGCGATAGTATTCCCCCCGGTTCCATTTTTGACGATTTTGTTAAACATGCAGAGCGCCACGTCAAGGTACCAAGGCTACCATGTCACGTGCCTATGATGACACCCCTATGATGACAAAGCTTGCCCCAATCCCTACCTTTCCCATTACAATACATGCATCAGAGGCCATGTTAAACATCTCAGCTGCACAAAGTAAACCTTTTCTGCTTGAAAAGTACCCTGAAAATAAAAGGAGCAAAGGGCATACGGTATCTGAGTACGAACTTTGTTGGCACCTGAGAAGGTACAACTGATCGGCCACTCAAAAGATGGCGTCTGACTCGTCGTCCATGACTATTACACTCTGATTTAATAGACAGACCGTATAGCCCTCGGGATCACATTTCGGTACATTCTCGGCGTCTGATTGTTTCCATTCATTTTAATTGCACTCAATTCAATAGAGTGTACAAGAAACAGCTTTAGAAACAATCGAAGATGACGTCACGGGTGAAGTAGATGAAACGACGCACATGCTTCCCAAGATAGAGGTGTCAAAGATTAAGCGATCCGCCGGGTACCAGGCGACGAGAAACACCAAGGCTACGGGTAAACGGTTACCCAAATCGGTCAGCATTAAGGTAAAACAAAATGCAAGTCGGTGTTCACTTTATCTATTATCATAGATATTCCATAAATTACTCTCAGAGCTTCCTCCTGACAAAAAAGTTGAAAGACTTTAAATTGAAAGTGAAGCCTGGAGGAAGAAGAAAAGATAACCCTAAATCTACAACTGTTTTCATCAAGTGGATATAAAAAATAGATATGATTAGTCCCAACATTGAGTCAGCTTACTTCTTATCCGTGATATCAGTGTAATGTCACTTTGTCAGTGTTGTCAAGTTTGGTAATTATAGTATTTTTTATTTGATATTTCTACAACTGAAGAATAAGTTTCGTTCGTGTTTTGTTTTTACAGAGCTAGGTTTCGTCACAGGATTTCAATGTTTTCATAGTGGCTTCTTAAAGGGCCTGTCTTGAGGCTGAAAAATTTCTCATTATCACCTTCATGGTAACCCTGTCGCTCTCTTAGATTACCAACGGCAGCTTCACCTGGGACAAAGAAAGCAGCATACCCGTCATCTCCAACATCAACACTGACATTCCGGCAGGTAGAAAAGATATAACTTTTTATACTGAATATTAGACTTAGATTAAGTAATCTTCATAAAATCCATCGTACTTCATAAATACTTAAGTCTTATTACCAGTGTAAGTCAAATCTTATTGTGTCCAAAACGAAAGAGTGTTATAGAGAAATTCGCATTCCCCCCTCAGTCTTAATTCCTTCTAATACGGAGGATTATTACAGATATAAAACCAAACTTTCATGCCTATGCTTGTGTGTTTTGCAGGTAAACTGACGATGATTATAGGATCAGTTGGTAGCGGCAAATCGTCATTGGTATCAGCTATTCAGGGAGAGATGACAACCTTATCTGGCACCGTCCAGTTCACTGAGTCAGTCCTACTTTTGTTGTCGCATTGCACGACACACAGACCCGAAATCTGGATTCTGATGCTGGGCTCCACACTGGCATCTTATGTTGTCCTTGTGGCCTGAGCATAAGTTCATTATTGTTCCCGCCCGAAGCCCTTAATACAAAACCGGCAAATAAGCATAATATAAGGCTTTTTAGCAAAACTGTTACTGATTGTTTCCACCAAACGATGATGGCGCAGGACTGTGACATCGGCTCACACAGGCTTCTTCAGCGAATACATAATGATTTTTAGACAAAATGCACTTTCACAAAAATTTGTACATCGAAGTCTGTTATGCAGTTTGAACAATGAATGTCCATTTTTTTATTTTGGATATGACCATTTTTTTACGTTGATAGTCAAATATCTATTGCATTAAATTCAATTTGATTCAACTCTTCTACGGAGTTTTGATGGTGTAGTAGTTTTATGGGATCATTTTTTATTCTTGTGTGATAGGGACATGACTTTCCAGGGTACCTGTCGATAATAAATTGGCGATACACGAGAATGGATTGAGGCATTTTATTACAAACAACTATCCAAACGTTCAGAAATGTACATGGTCAAATTCACAGGAGGCATTGGCATGCCACCATAATTTATTACAGGCGCCCTCTCGAGGTGATACACCTTAAAACGAACACAAAGCACTTTTAATTAAACCAGTAGACGTAAACGACAATGTTCTCATAAACGTCACAACTGTAAATTGAAACTATCGTTTTTTTCTCTCTCTGAAGGGTGCTTATGTGGGACACAAGCAACGAAAGGCAGATCGATTATACCCCAATAGCTGAGATTTTCTTGAATGGCAAATTGGTTTATAGAATGTCATTGATATCCTTTGGGTACACATAATGGATGCGCAACTGATATCAACCTACTTTGCACACAAATCAAATAAATGAGTTACCCAACAACAGTTTGATCTATTTTATAAATTTATAATTGATATGCTGACATCAGGCCTTATAGAAGACCACCATATGGCGAAAGGGTGTCCTGGATAAATATTTCAAATAATAATAGGAACAGAAACAATTACAACAGAAATTTGCCTTTTAGATTGATTCAACATATTACTAATCTTTTAAATTTCTATTTGATAGTTGGCGTATTGCAAACTGATATCGAGAGTTTCAAATCATGTTTCTATTCGAAAAGCTGTGGAAAATAAAAGTGCAATTGTATTTTAAAACGACGTGAGCCTCTACTTTTAGGCATTCGCAGTACAAACCTATGTCAATGTCCAATGTCTAAAAAAAGGCATTCATTTGTCAAAGTTGCAAGCTTTTTTAGAAAAATTAAGACAAATTACAAATTAATACAGCCTGTTGCATCATTGCAAGACTGTTTTGTTTTCGTTGCAGAGGAACCACATCCATGGCATACGCTGCCCAGAAAGCCTGGCTAATTAACTCTACACTACAGGGAAATATTCTGTTTGGCAAGGAGCTAGACACCAATAGGTATGAGTTATATCCCTCGCAAAGTCGTTCTATTTACCTTCACATAGAAACAAGTTAACATCACAATGTGGTTTCCAGTCGTTATGACTAATAAGTCGAATTCGGTAACCATTCCTAGACCATTAAAAAGACAACAGAAGAAAAATAGTGTATGCTGGAGTTTACTTACACCATCAGAGCACATAACATCATGATACCAATTTACATTTGGTCAAGATAAAGGAAAAAAGCACCTGGAATGGGCCACTATGTCTTATTTTGATCATGCCATTCAAAGTGAGCATGCACCCACAGGAGACAAAATCTTTAATTTTCATAATTTTCCTAATATAGGTACAAGAAAACCATCGATGTGTGTGCTCTTAAGCCAGATATCGAAATCCTCCCCGGTGGAGACCAGACTGAGATAGGAGAAAAGGGAATCAACATGAGTGGAGGGCAAAAACAACGAATCAGCATCGCTAGGACAGTCTACTCCGACAAAGATATCGTCATACTGGTAGGTTAATATAATATTTCTTCAAACTATAACGCTTCTCAAAAAGCACTAATTGTAGACGCCATCGCTCATCCCAAATGTTAACACGAGAACATCATACCTGTGAACCCACTCCAGGCCAGTGGCATAGCTAGGATTAGCCAGCTGGGGGGTACGTGCCCCCAGGCCCCACCCCCCGTGACTACGCCGCACGTATATTTCTAGACAAAAACACAGCTTCGGTTTAAATAAAAACACACACACACACACACATGAAAAGACACTATATAGTGCAGCATTTTTTCTTTTTGAAGGAGTGGGTGTTAACAAGCAACCTATCCGTTTCCATTTTCCTTATAAGGAGATTCTCCTGGACTACTTGCATAAAGGAATATACCATAAAATGGACAGGGGTGTTAAGGAAAATGAAATTAAAATTCTTGAACAAAATCTTTAGAAGTTTATCGTATATTGACTTCTCTTTACTCTCAGATTAAAACGTACGAATGGGAATAAATATGTGCTTGGTCGGTCTTAAACTGATATTTAAGACAGGCGCAGGAGAACGAACGCTGCTAATGCCCGATCCGCAGCGCGTCGATTCTCTTAAGCAACCCACGTTGAAGACCGGCCAAGCACATTTTATTCCCATATCATTTGAAAATAGAAAAACTAAATAGAACGTATACAAAACATTGAATTAAATAAAATACTGCCGAGATGCAAAATAAACGTGAAAGGATCTCACTTATTTACCGTAACATGACATCTAGCTTTTTTGTGTGGTGACACCTTTGTAGGACGACCCACTGTCAGCTCTGGATGTCCACGTGGGATTGCAAGTCTTCCATAAGGCTATTGTCGGGACCCTCCTCAAGAAGAAACGAACCGTTGTCTTGGTAACACATCAACTGCAGTATTTACATCATGCACACAAGGTACGAAAGAAAGAGTGAAATACGCTACAGATTTGAAAAAAAAAATCAGGCAGAAAACTTCTTTCGATTCACATTGCAGCGCAAATCCTGGTGCTGCTGACCTCATTGATGACGCCAGTAAGTACTGGTCTGAGGCAAAGCAAAGGTAATCGCTGATTGTACCATGCTGATTGGTCAAGCTTGCATAATTACTGTATTGCTACCAACACCTACTTAGCCACAAAATTCAGACAGAAATTGTATTTGAATAAGAAAAAATCTGAGACGTTGCCGAGACTTGTTTTAACCATCTCGCAAATGAATCGACTATTGATCAATCTGCTCATCAGATCATTGTCATGAAAGACGGTAGGGTGGCCTGTCAGGGTACCTTTCGAGACATCATAGACGAGGTTCCGGAACTTTACAGCGAGTACCAGCAAGCCGTCAAGACGACTACGGAGTCAGAGACGGAGGCAGAGGAGATCATGAGTAGGATGTCTGATGAAGAGAAGAGGGAAGTCTTCAAGAGAAAGATAAACCGAGAATTATCTGTGGAATCTAGTAAGACGAAACTACTAAAAAACTTTGGCCTGTACTACATGAATTTTAACTGTGCTTACATTTACCAGGAAGCAAGAGAAAAATTCGTTTGAGCAATTTGAGCGTCTTGTGATGCCGTTGAGTATTAAGTTAATTACATCTGGACTTTTTTGGTTTGATCTGTAATCTGTAATTTTCTCAGTCTGGAATTTTTCCTGCCCTTATACTTCCTTTGATTTAAAGACCAAATTAGCAGAGTTTCAAAGCAAAACGTTGCTTACCTTCCAAGTATACCTGTAAACAAACAGCTAACAAAAAGCTTAGTCTCTGTGTTTCTCTGTGTCCGCGACAAAAAGTCACATCGTTAGCAGGGGAAAAATGTACACAATCCCTGCACAAGTCTGTGTGTGTACACATGCGTGTGAACGATGTTGTACATTGCGCGCATGTTGAAATGTAACGAAATGTAACCATTTTTTTCCAGCGCGCACTTTTTCAGAAACGGACAGAAAGTGTGTATTATGCTTTAGCAAAGAAATTAATTTTTCTTTTTCACGAAGTGAAAAACTTTTATGTAGTTTTATTAACGAAATAATTATTTAATTAAGACAATAATAATTAACTAAGGATTAGCATTTTCCAAGTCTTACATTTCATTTATAAAAAATTCCTCAATCCGTAACATAAAGGTGATCGAAAATGCGTATTGAAAAGGCTGGTATTTACATTGTCTGTTTGGCAAGATTTTGAGGGTTTTGTCACCGTAAAAAGACCGACGATATATATCCCCCACATATTTTAACCAGGGGGAAAGGGAATTGAACCTCACTTTTGCGTGATTAGAAAAATTAAAGTGGACTGTGAAGAAATTGTCGGACTTCCAATCAACCGCTTTAGGTCTAAAAAGGGAGAACAATTTTAAAAAGCCACAAACACGCCCTTTAGATTGAGGGTTCTTCTGGAGACTGTAATAAGTATTACACACTGTATCATGATCATCGGCCCCAGCATTAACCCCCCCCCCACTTTGGCCCTTCCATGGCCAGGCAAGACACCTTTTCCCCGACAATACCAGCGGCGTGGCTGGGCGGGAGGCGTGGGGCGCAGGCCCCCCCCCACATGAAAAATTGTCCCCCACTTGCATTTCCCATCTGATCACGATTACGTACATGTACATGTCCAACATCCAGTCAGCCCCTCCCCCCACTTTAGTGTGAAGCCCTCGCTCGCCCTCGCCTCATGCTCAGAGTTCTTGCTCTACGCTCTGAACACACGTCCCCAACCCCCCAGCTCCTGATACAACTTACACAACATGGGTTTGCGATTTTGCAGTACAGAATGACCCCGATGTAAGGTGAAGCACACCTGTTGCCTGTACGTCACTGAGAGACCCTTTTGAGATTGATTATTGGCTCTTCTTTGCAGGTGGCTCTAAAACAGGCACCAAACTCATCGAAGTGGAGGAAATGGAACGAGGATCCGTGTCCTACAAAGTCTATACATTTTACTGTCGAGCGATGACGTGGACGATGTCCATTGGTTTCTTTGCTGGATATGTTGGCAACGTAGGCTTCACCGTGGGAACCAACTTCTGGCTGTCTGATTGGTCTACTGCAGGAATCACAACTGATAATGTAAGGAACGACTGGGCCTGAAAAACTACAAAGCTGGGGATAGGGCAGAATGCATCTTCAAGTTCAATGCCATCTCTCCAGTGGAACCAGTGGAAACCCTTTTGAACTTTTGCAAAGGTCTAATCTTAAAAAGAATGCATGTTTTTTACAAGGCGAAGTCTCTTAGTTATAGATAATGAATTCACACCGTCGGACATTTTCAGTGGAAATAGCTGATTTACACTACCGTTCTCCCCAAAGCGACATTTCGTGAGAGCAACATTTCCTATCTTCATAAACCAATGTAAAGGCATCATATACCATTTATTGTTGCTTACTGATACCAGATTTTTGGCTATTGTGTCTGACTGTAGTCCACTATAAAGCCGTTGTCCTACTACATTGCTGGCTATGCTGGATTGTCTGCCGGCGGGATTGTGACTACTTTTGTCGCTTCCATGTTTCTCGTGTTTGGAGCGTACATCGCCTCACGTGATCTGCACATCTCCATGTTCCGTAATATCACCAAATGCCCCATGAGGTAAGTTTAAAATTACACGGAGGAACTTATTCCAACTGATCACTTGTTTGAAATTGCATAGAGTTTGTCCAAGAGCCAGTGGAGGTAGTTCATGTTTTGACAACACGTTTCGCAAAATGAGAACTTGTTCATTTTTAAAAAGCATAATTTCCCGTATAAAGGAGCTCAAAGAAAAGTACTTTTATTGTTGCACGCAAAAAGGAGAGATCCGTTATTGTCTTCTGAAAGATGTTTACAAGGAACGATTGGAGAGCAGCCTCCAAATGGATGTAGACGAGAAGATCAACAAATGGATGTCTCTTTTTCGGATATTTACAGATTTTTTGACACAACTCCTCTCGGCCGTGTCTTGAATCGCCTTGCGGCTGACACGACTCTCATGGATATGGTGAGCAGAGTTGTAGACTCAATTCAGTTGATTTGGATTCGACTCGAGTCAGAATTGAGTTCCTATTTTTGTGGCTCACGATTTGACTTGTCTTGTAACTATCAATTTTTGACTTGTGACTTGACTTGGGATTGCACATAATGACGTCTTTTTATTAACGCAACTAGAAAGGCACTCAAACGAACCCATTCAAGTTTCAATGAAGCATATCAACGCTTTGCGATCTCAAAGTAATCAGCCTAGGACTTTGTTCCGCTTGAGACTTGTATATTTCGGTCTTGTCTGCCCAAAGCCCATGTCTGATTCACTTGGCTGTGGCTTGAAATCATTCATCGCGGACTTTACTTGTACTTGGACAAAAAGAATTGTAACTTACTTGAGTTTGGACCAAATGGACTTGTGACTTGACGTGACTTGACCTGTGATCAAATGACTTGTGACTGGACCAAATGACTTGTGACCTGGCTTTCCAAAAATTGACTTGACCTGACTTGACTGGACTTGCAAAATTTGACTTGCTACCTACTATATCTTTCTTTTTAGGAATTTACGTTTTCATTAGAGAGTAAAGAAATGTGAATAGCTGTGCTGAGACATCTAAACAGAGACCAAAATACCACGAACAAAACGGTCGAGCTAGAATTGCTGTCAATTAAGGCACCTTTCCATACGTTTTTTGAGGTGCGTTGCGTACACGATGTATTCATGCCTTTCACTTTCAAGGACACAAAAACCGACTCCCTTAACATAACTCACGTGTGAGTTGCGTTCGGTCTTTACAATCTCCGCGGTCGGCATGACGTCACTACGAACCTTATCACACAGCATAGTAAAGGAGCAAAATAATTTGCCCTTCGCGCTATGCTGAAATGCACTTAATGTACCAATTCAAAACTTTTCCCCAGTCGCCAACTGACATACGCTCGGCAAATTCCGGCAACCGATGGTGATCATGTTTTTTTCATGTGTGAACTTAAAAAAAAATTGCCTTTCCGTGGCAACTTCTTGGTCGCTCACTGTATTGTGATCTCCCCTGTTTGGAAGAAGGCGAATGGTAGACATCGGCTTTTGTATTTTCCAAATCATTTAGACTTTCTCAAAAACAAACGGTAAATGTAGCGAATATGACCTCAGTCAATGCTAAATGATAACACACTGGTTTACTAACTACATGTATATATACTGAACAGCTCTTAAGTTAATTGTTTACTGACTATGACGAAATTCCATTTTTCAAACCACAAAACAGAAACTGTACCACAGCATAAATATCATGCTATTCTACACTGTGAGCTATATCGCTGGACTCGTGGTCAATTCCATCATTCTGCCAATTTTCTTGGTCTTCGTTGTTCCTTTGATGGTCAGTAACTACTTTCTCGCCAAGGTCTACGTCACAACGTCTCGGTAGGTGAACGCTCGCGGTAGGTAGTTTGGGTTATTCAAACTGCCGTCCATCTGAGTTTCACTCCACTGAAATACAGTTGTGGATTTCACCGTCACCAAGATGAAAAACAATTAGTTCACAATACCCTCGGATTGATTTTCATTTTTCGATCTTTTAAATACACGTACAACACAAAGAGCCTATGGCCCATATGTATGTACTCTAACAGCTGTCACAGCGAAACTCATTCAGCATTTCTTTGCTTTTAATAAACATGGAATATGACAACTCTTCCAGAGTTAGGCCTAAGTACTGTGAAAGCCTTAAGACTTCCAAACTAAAAAAATAGCGGTTTTGGAACAAAATGGCATCATTTCACTTGACTCACTGTTCAGCAAAACACTCCTTTTCAGAGCGCTCCAAAGACTCGACAGCGTGACCAAATCGCCAGTATTCGCACACTTCTCAGAGACTTTGGGCGGACTGCCAACCATTCGAACATACAGGTACATCTAACCGTAACTGATTTGATCTCGGCAAACTGCATTAAGACTTTCGTTGTAATAAAGGGGAAAAGTACTGGGAAAGGAATAAGAAATAAATCCCAAGAAATATATTTCTGAGAGTTTGGTCTTCAGTTGTCCGCTCCATAACCGTGTAAAGTATGTTTTTTTTTAAAACTGTCACATTTCTTTGAACGGATCCTAAATATCGATATCATAAGAGCAGTGTACTAAGCTTTCTGTACTTTTCAAGGAAAATAAATTCACAGACGCTGAGATTGTCACGGCATGCCTTCTGTAAACTTTAGTCCAGACTTTTTCCAACGTTCATGTTTTACGAAATTATTACCAAGCTTCTTCTTGGAATACAGGTAAAAACAGCGGGAACATTATTTGGAAAGCATTCTTAAAGGTTGAGTTTCTTGGAGACTTGTAAAAATTCAATTCGCTCTTTTTTGTGTGACGATATCGACATTGAGATAATATGAAAGATATTTGCAATACAGCTCTTGTTTTCGGTTCCCTATTATCATCTCCTGGGCCACACGCTTCGTCCAAAGAGACCAGGATCGGTTTTACTCGACTCTTATCAAGAAGATAGACGTGAACAACACGGCTTTTCTCTATCTCCAAACGTCGAATAGATGGGCTGCCATGCGATTGGTAAGTTGACTACGACTGCACCAAAATTTTACTCGTTGACAAAGGACATTTTGTCATAGCAGGCCTACATCTTTTAACCAAAGCCTGCAACATGAAGAATGCGTACGTTCTATACTTACAGATACTCACATCAAACACATGCAGGGTGATCAAACTGAGTGTTCAAAGATTTTCAAATATTGATTACAAATCTGAGAAGAGCAAACAAGAAAAGATAAAACCCCAAAAGTGTGCCAGTAAGATTCCGGGATGACTTTGAGTTGTTTTTAAGTAGAGGTTCACTCTCGCTTTAAAATAATTTTGTGATTGGAATTAACTTTTGAGACCATGCAAATTCGTGAGTAGCATCTGCTTGGGAATTAAAAGTGAAACATCTGCGTAATATTTATCATAACTGTTCGATTTTCGGTCAAATCAAAGGAATCGATTGGAGCAATTGGTCTTCTAATAGCTGGAATGGGGACCATCATCAGTTCACTCAACGGCACTATTGAACCCAGTGAAGTTGGTTTGGCGATATCCTATACATTAATGGTGAGTGTTCATACAGGTGTCTTAAAAAACTTCGAGAAGTGGGCATTTCAACTGATTGGTCGTGTAAAAGATGTGGCCCCCCTCGCTGTACATTCATTTCTTGTACTTCTGTAACCGTAAATTAACAAACCGGCGTTGCACTATGTACAGATGAACGACAGGGGACAAACTCAGTACGGTATTTTGTTGTCTGCAGGCACGGCCCTAAAATACAGTTTTTCTTTGGTGTAACCCACTCTTTGTAAGCTCCACTGTAAAACAATCAACCAGACAAACGCAACCCAACTTTGATCAATTGAGAAATCTGGAATTTATTATTTTAAAAGAAAACGTGGTCCTGCTGAGTGTGATGCGATTAAACCTAAAGCTATCTTCATCCGTTAAGTTGCATCTGTCGAACAGGAGGATCGATCTATGACTCTCGCAGGTTGCCAATTTCATGGATTACGCCATCCGCTACGCTGTTGAAACTGAGATGCAGATGAACGCGATCGAACGTATCAAAGAGTATTCGAGCATCGCCAATGAAAACTACAAAGGTAAATCGAGTCTACTACCAAAGCGCACGTTCGCATTTCCCTCGACTCTCTTCATACCGTATTGCCAAATCTCTTTATTGAAAAACTTCAAATTCTTCAGTAAATTTATGATACTGCTGCCCATGTAATACATGCTGTTGAATTTTTCAAAACAATTTCAATATGGAACTAAGTCCTAAATTCTAGGACCGAAAATTCTGGCATCCAAAAATTTGACACAAGTTTAGCCCAGTGTTCCTCTACGAGGGGCATCACAGAAAATCCATCACCAACACTGAACAATTTTTTAAAATTTTACAAATTCTGATAAACCATTATCAAATCCACTCACAAAATTATTCTCTTATTATTTGGTGGATTTTAAAAGTGTTCGATGTGCACTTCAAAAACGGGGATATTTAATTTGAACGCCAAACTTATAAACGGGAGATGTTGATAGCTTGATGAAATTTGACGCAAAATTTGTTCTAGTAGAAGCACCAGACCACCGGTTAATACTTGGCTCAAAAGATCACACATACGCGGATTTTTGATGTCAGACCAAATATTCAACTCGCGCGAAATTTTGCGCAGTTTTTCATGATGTCAAATTCGCTTCGCTTTCGCATTTGCGAGAAGTATGAATCGGCTCAGGCGAAAAAAAAACAAAGTGCGTCACGTTAGCGGCTGTGCAGTGTTAGGGTACATAATCCTAACCCTACGTAGTTCCTTGTGCCACCTTTCCTGAGTTTATTGATTTCTTTGGAATATCTTTTCTATTAAAGAAAATATCATTTTGTATTCAACTTGACCAAGCAATGTAATCGAGTTTAGGTTTCGTGAGTGCCGGGCTATAAATGTGGACTACGTGCTTTTTATTTGAAGCCTTGTTTCAAATTGTTTCAAATACCAAATTGGAAGAGTTTTGAAAAAGCTGGTTACTCTGTGGGGCAGTTGAGGAGCCCTTAGCTCTGTTCTAGTCCAATAGCAGACCTGCGTCTGACCTTAATGGATGCACTGTTAACTTTGCACCATTTACTGAACCCAAATAGGTACAGAGCCACCAGAGAGTTGGCCACAACGAGGAGAAATCAAAATGAACGGAATTTATGTCCGCTACGCCAGGGAACTAGACCCGGTCATCAAAAACGTCACGGCCACCTTCAAATCGGGGGAAAAGGTTATCTTTCTCTTGAATTTTTTGCACACACAATGCTTTTTCTTTCCATAATGAACCAGACGACAGAATTTTTGCACCCGGAAGTTTCCGCAAGCCTAGAGTAGAGAAGCTATGCAACTAAGTATGATGAGGGAACTGGTATCCCCAGCGGGAGGCAGGAGGCGGGGGTTGCTGGGATATTGCCCAGATTCAGTGGTTGTTTGGGAAACTTGAAAGCGAACAACGCTCTAGTTCCAGACAGAGTGATCGATTTTATGAAATGCCCATATTGCGCTCCTCCCCCCATTCCCAGGATACCCTACTGATCATGACCCGAGGGTCATACTTTTTGGCAATTAACGCCTTCTACATGTATTTTGGGCAAACGAGTATCTCTCTTATATATCTCTCTTATATTCATATCATTCCTTTTACTCATTCGTGACTACGCTCATTTTTTTTTTAAATTTCAATCTCCAGGTGGGGATTTGTGGCCGGACGGGAAGTGGAAAGTCATCTCTGACTCTGGCACTCTTCAGAATCATTGATACTTACAAAGGTTAATCTTGTAATTCCTAGAAAGGGGTAACCAAAGCGTCTTTACATGGTGCAGGAGATATAAGTATCATTATGCAGCACTCAGGACAATGCACGATGCTCCTCCTGCAGAAATGAAACACGGCCTAAACTACAATATTACCCTCCAAGTGGTGGATCTAGGGGGAGGCTCATGAGTTGATGATCCCCCGACCCCTGGCTGAATAGCTTTATATTGCCATCTTTTGCCCTACCCTTCATACGACAATAACTGGGTTGTTGTTTTCCAGATTTGATTTGCTAAGCCAGGACGGGAATATTGTAACAAGTGTATCGGGGCGGATCGAGGAATTTTTGGGCGTCAGGCGCTAGGCCGGAGATTTTTTGTATGCCCCATTTTTGCTGACATGCAGAAATGATAGTGAAACGTATTTTTTTTTAACCTTTTCGTCGGGGGGGGGTTCGATCTTCCAGCATCTGCACCTGGTGTATACCGGTACTTTTGTAAACGTGTTTCTAGAGCTGTGTCGGGGATCTGTCCCAGTAGAGTGGTTACGAGAGTGCCGAGCTTGACTCTGGTGCAGGAATAAGTTGAGTTTTCTTTCTGAAATAAATACAGTTTGCTTGTTTGGAGTTGGAAATCATGTGTCCCCTTTTTCCGTGTTCATGTTGGAGGACAAGAACCTTTTCGGTACACGCTACAATACGAACGCAGCCTTCTGTCATGCATCTGTCAACGTCTTTATCTTCTCTCTCAGGTTCTATTGTCATCGATGGCATCGACATCAGCACTGTTCCCCTGACCACCTTGAGACAGCGCCTGGCCATAATTCCTCAGGATCCCGTTCTGTTCAGTGGCACGATCAGGTATGTCTCGCTCAGTTAACTTGGGTTTCATTAAGAGTTAGACATTACATCACTATCGTATCGTGATATCAACATCAGATTGAGCGAAAACATGACCTCCTTTCCAAATGGAATGACATTCATCTTAATGTTATGTCTAACCCATTCGATTTTTGATCCATCAATACTGATTTGTACAGCTTTTAAATGTTGCCATGTTCCCTTTGAGGGGTATTCACTTTTAGAGAAGTGGCATAGGTAATTTTTCCACCATTCTGAAATCAGCAACCAACTCAGCTATTTTTGCTTTTTCGGGCGGCAGATACAACGTTGACCCAGAGAGACAGAGGACTGACGATGAATTGTGGCACAGTCTTGAGATCTCCCAGCTGAAGGACACGGTTAGTCAGATGCCCAAAGGTCTAGGTGAGTGATTCCGGCAGCTCGTTCCAAAATTAAGTACATTTTGCTGAAAGAATATGGCAATATGTTTGCAAGCTAGACGAGGCTTTTGTTCAATTCAGTTTTTCGGGGATGCACTCCATCTAAATGTCCCTTTGGGCCCAATTTACAGGTACTGATTTGGTCTAAAATCTGTGCTGTTTGACAAAACTACTGGTTAATTTCATATTAATCCGCTACAGGGCCATATCGATATTAATATTTTATTAGACTCTGAGGTGTCCGAGGGTGGAGAGAATTTCAGCGTAGGTCAACGGCAGCTGTTCTGTCTGGCTCGTGCCTTCTTGAGACGGTCAAAGATTCTTATCATGGATGAGGCCACGGCTTCCATTGATATGGACACGGTGGGTAGTAGTCCAAATCCCTGGATCCCACAAATGTGGGTATAATTAACTACTTCTAGGGGCACAACCCACAATGTGAAAATCCTGCCGCTAGAAAGTTCAGTACGTTTTATGCAAAGTAATGAGTAGTCTATGTCGTCCCCTAAAACTTAGCTACAGGTACATAACATCGATGGCTGTTTCATCCTTTTCAACCATGAGCTAGTGAGCCATGGGCTTCCTGGAACATGCAAAACAAAGTCCCTTTCTCTTTCTTACAACTTTAAGCACAGTATTAAATTTTGAAATACAGCCCTAACTGTACATGGAATATAATCATATGCTGGAGACACAGTGGAAGAAACTCCGAGTCCAAATTTACAATATAGCGCGCCTCCGAGAGTTTGCAACGGGTTGGCCAATCACAATGCACGAACGCTGTCAAGTCCTTTCCAAAATGCGCAACCATTCACCTAATGATGATGCAACCAGTTTCAGTTCCCAGATTAAGTTTCACAGCTTTCACACCATTTATCAAATGACAGACCATGATATCGAAATTGGCACCACTTATTTAAACAAGTTGTGCCTACATTGAATTGGAGCTGAACTCATTTTCTTGTAACAGGATAAGATTCTTCAAGACGTCGTTGCCACAGCGTTTGCTGATTGTACAGTCTTAACTATTGCAGTAAGTAAACACAATAAGAAATTCTGCTCCGGCATCACATGGGATCAGGCGTGGTCACATGTGTATTATCTACATCTTAGCAAAGTTCGTGTAGATAACAGTTCGCATGTGAAAGTCAATTTCACCTTGATTAACAAACTAAAACCGGGTGATGCCGAAGCAAGTTTTCTATGATTTTGCCCTTTGTTTACATATATAACTACGCAACTTTGACATGACGACATGCAGAAAAAACGACATCAAAGACGTTGATTGGTCGATAAATGTCGGCTGATTCGATGCTTTTTAGTAAACGTCTGCTGATTGGCCAGTCTGTAAGTCAGGATCAGCACGTCTTGCAGAATTAACCGCCAACCTGCCTGTTCACTGAGCTGGCTTTTGTGACGAGTAAAAGGAATCTGTTTCTCAGATTTCACTTTCTCGTTTCTGACAGCACCGAGTTGCCACGATCCTGGATTCCGACTCCATCTTGACCCTGGCTGACGGAGAGATCGTCGAGTATGACACACCGGAGAACTTGCTCGCCGACCACAATAGCATCTTTGCTTCGTTGGTCAACTCAAATCAGTAAAACTGAGCATGTTCTGCCTCCAGAAGTTGAGAGCCATCTTCTCAGATCAGCATAGGTGCTTTTGCATGCAAATAAAGCTTTTAGAGCAGCCAAATCACATAAATATAGACATTTCTTTGCCATTTGTATCCTCTCTGTTTCAATATGAATAAAATAAGGGCTTACTCTAGGAAACTGAGAACTATAACCTCGTTTTGAAAATCAACCATGCTGAGAACAGAAATCAAATTGACCTTTAGAAGTTTGTGCGTTTGACTTTTCAGGTTAAGTGACCCACCATTGCCAACTCAGGCTGAAGTAGGTAATTGTGACGTTTAACAATTCCTCTATCTACTGTTTGTTTACATTTCAAAGTGATCAAAAGTCTCATTTTTTTCTGTCTGCGGAAAGCTTTTGTAATATTTAGAAGTGAAAACTGTTGAATTTCCACTCCTGCAGGGATATGAAGTTAATAATTCCAAACCTGGTAGATCACGCATACTATATGATTCATGTGGAACTGCGGGGCAGCATACATTGCAAACCGAAATGTGTGAAGGATTTGAGCATGAAACAGGTATTTTCTTAAGTCACTTGAATCTTTTCTACTTCTACCGTTGTTAACTCCGTGATGTCAAGAAAGATAAACCAAGTTAGATTTCAAATACATATATTACTGTGTGTTTTAGACTTCCAGACTCTATTACAAAGTTTTACCTACAACAAAACAATTGCTCCTTTCATGACCAACTTAGAATAATATCAGCTTTTTCCCACAAATACCAGAAGTTAAAGGCTATTCTACCATAATTCCACAAAACCACCTCACTTCCATTGTTGGCATTGCTCATAACATAACAGCATTAACTTTGTAATGTTTCCATAAGTAAAAAGGTGCTATTAAGTTGTGCTTAAAATCATTTTTTCTGACTTACACAGTTGTGAAAATAGCAAGGAATGACTTTTTATAAATAGTATGGGATTTGAGGGATTGAAATTAAGTAGAATAAAAAAACCCAAACCGGCATCATAATTCATCTCGATTCTGCTCTGAGCTGTCTCGCCCCTCGTGTCTTAATTCATTTTTGTTGAGTGAATCATTCTGTTTCTCACTGTTAGATTCATTTCCCCCAGTTGCTCTACTCTGAGATTCCACACCGACACTGTCAGCCTCCCCTCCTTTGGCAGTGGTGCTGTCCGCTTCCTGATCTGTTTCTTCAGCAGGTGGCACATCACCATCTGCAAAGCAGGGGTGGCACAACAAATAATTTAATTTTGAGTTTGAGAAAGCTAACCACAAAAACCATACACTAACAAGTGGGTGTTACAATGCTTGGCAAAGCATCAAAGGCAAACATGAAATTCATTTCTCCTTATCGCCTGGGGTGAGTGAAAAACTTTTATTGAAATTGGAGCATTCAGGACTATTAGCATTCGTAAAAATGGTAGCGCTCAGGGCTAGAATTTCACGGTGAAGTCAGATGTTCAAGATTTATCACAAATCATGAACTGACTTTTATCAATTGGAACAGTTCTCAATCCAATTTCACGGTAATGTTTCACAGACCCGAGGGATAATGCTTTGAGAGATGATAGGACTGCTCTAAAGTTGGGGAGGGGATGAAATGGTGAAGAGGAGAGCAAACCTTTGTGATCTGCTACCACTGATCATTCAGCCAGTGATACATCCCAGTTATCACTGGCACAATGAAGGGGGTGTCAGGTGGTTAAAAAACCGGTTAAGTATCAAGCACACATATTCATATCACTTTATTAGGACACAAGGCTGCAGAACCTGCCCAGGCTGACAACCCAACAGGTAAATGTGCAGAGTTTCATGACAAAATGCTATATATCCTTTTCACTGACTGTGAGATTGAGATTCATGTAATGAATGATAATACGGGCGATTCACAATAGTGTGCCACCAAGAGTTTGCAACCCGTTGGCCAATCACAACGCGCAAAATCTGTCGACCCTTTCCAAATGCCTCTTTGTTCGACAGATTTCGTGCATTGTGATTGGCCAATGCGTTGCAAACTCTTGGTAGTGCACACTTGTGAAACTGCCGTTTTGTCTGCTTAAATAATGAATAAAATACGGAAATTTTATGTAAATTCATCATATCTCGGAAAATGCACATCAGAATTTAAAAGAAGATATCAAATAAAAGATATTTTTAACAATACATGAATTTTGGTCATCTGAACTCATATTTTTCAAAAAGTAGGATATACATGTACTCTGTAGGATTTTGCAATGAAGCTCTTCATGTACATGTACATCAATCAAACTGCTTTAATTCAAACAACCAACAGCACTAACCACCTCAGGGATACTGTTGTCTTGGATTTCTTTTGGTGTATTTCATTTCACATGTACACCAAGTGTCATTGATCACTGCTGTCATGTCTGCTATGTGTTTAGCATGAAAAAAGAGTCCACAGAGCCACATGGCCACCCAAAAGTAATTAACTGCAATATTGATAGACAAAGCTATGGTGGGTATTTAACAAGACCTTGATGTTTGGCAGATACTGTGGATCACACATAATACACATGTGCAGCAGCACCAAAAGATTGTCCTAAATTAATTTTATGAAAACGACATTCATTTTGACAGCGAGTCTACATTTCATGCAGGCTTTACAGTCAATTTTTCACGGCAGTAAAACAAATGAAGACTCAAAAGGGAATCACTGAACCACAGTCACAATGTAACACAGTGTGACAAAGAAAATCAAACTTATGTAACTTTACATGCCCAATACATACATGTACATCAACATCATACCAACAAATTGAACAACAATAACCAATACAGCTGTACGTGCAGAACATGTGTAACATGACTGACTGACTGACAGTACTGGGGCAACAAAAAGCTTAAGGAAATGTTGTGAACAACCTTTTGGCCAGCTCCAGCTTGCAGTTCTCATGCCAGAGGGGTTTCTTGCAAAAACATGGATCAGGTTATTCAATGCCCCAGCAAAAGGCAGCAATCAAGTTGTTAAGCACGTCACCTGGAGGAGCAATTGGGTCATTTGACGTCCCAAGTACCGTGTCCATGTACATGTACTTTGCTTCTGATAATCCAAAAATATCAAATCCTTGCTTGGCAGATTTATCCATTCCTGACCAAGTGCTGATTCGAAGTTCAAGATGACTCTTACTTCAAGATTTCATTGTTGACGGGTCTGATGAGTCTTGATTCATATATCCTTTCCATCCATTTATCCTCCGCACTTTTCTTAGACAAGGAAAGAATTTCTTGCAGATGGTCATCGCTGCATCCCTTTGTTGGCCGTAGCAAAATGGTCATAGAAGTGATAAATGATTAGGTATTCCAAACAGGTCACCAAGTAGCCTCAGATTTCTTGTTCACATGTACACAGATTTAATAGATGGCTTGCACTGACATCGCACATTTCCCTAAACCTTCCACTATCCACCATCTTTGAGGTCAGGCCACATCTGACATGGAATTGATCATGTCTATGACTAAGGCTCTTTACCGCGCTACACTTACGCCAACACTTAAGCCAAAGCCGCAAGATACCAGATTCATAACAAAGCCTGACATCAAACACAGTGGGCCACTATTAAAGGATGGTGAGAGATGTGAAGTACATACACTAGTAGAGTGAAGCTCTGTCTAAATAATTTGGCTGTACCTTAAATAATTACCAATCAGTCTTTGGTAGTGGCTGCAATTCAGAAAGAAACAAATCATACCAATACTACGGATATTAAAACAAAACACTGGCTGATTTATTGTACCGATTACTCAATATCACACATGGAATATATTAACCATTCTACGGAGACGAAAAGGTTGAGAGCATCCTCAAAACATTAGCGGCAAGCCTGTGAAATTTCAGGGATGATGGGAGAGTATAAGAAGATTATCAACATAAATGTGTCTGTCAAAGACCGTCACACACTTTATGCATTGCAGACGTCAATTTGACGTGACTGTGATGCAAATGCTCATGTTTTATCGAGATCATTGCTCCAACTAAACTTAACAATAGATACTGACGAATACAGAGACAGATTGAAGCCTGGTTTCAAAAAGTGTTAAATATCTACAGGAAGACAAGTGTTCGCAATTTGAACAGCCATTGGTGCGTGCTTTCATGTAACTGTACTCTAGACTTGTCTTTTATAGTTTCTTATAAGACTGACATGTATTTTACAGTGCAAAAGTGTAAAATCATTATTGGTCAAGCACACTGAATCCTACATTATGTTGAATACATTTTCACTCAAGAATTTAAACACCCCAGTCTAAACACGCATTTTAAGTGTATGATTTGAAAAGACAAAACCCTCAGGCACATAAATCAGCCCATGATTTAGCCCAAGCCCTAATCCTGAGGGGAAAAAAAACAAACCTTTTTGAGGATAATTTTGCTCCTAAATCACAACTACACACAATATCTACAACATCAAAATGGATTGTGTTGATAAATAATGCACAAACAAAATCAAGAAACACATCAAAATGCTGGTCTTTTAAGAATTCGCAATTTATGTACGCAACGGAAAGAATGAGGCTGTTTAGTACTGTAGAGGAATTGCTTATGAAGAGCAAAGAACAAAATAGCATATGTGTAATGACACAGGGCTATTTATACAACAAACTAGAAATGATATTGTTCTTTGCCCCATTTACAGTACTCAGTCCATGATTTCACGTGGTTTGTTGTTGACTTTCCTCCTCTGTTTCTGATCAACCGATTTATTAACTTGATTGACCCCTGCTTGTCAAGAGGTCTAGTGCAGACAAGACAGAAGTGGAAACTTTTCCAGGAACATAAAAAAGTACATGTACTCAGATAAAACACCGTTGTTGAGACATAAACTGAGTATAGGCGTCTCCTTTTATGATCTGCCCCCTCCCCCTCTGTTGTCTTGACTCCGCCTCACAAACTGACCCCTCCTTCCGCCCCCCCCCCCAACAGCAAGTCTCATCATGTGTCTCTTGCTGCCTCCTGTTGAGCAAAGAACCTCATCATGTACCACAACCCCAGGCCCATCCCTAAAATGACGGCCATTATGGGGCTCCCTCTACTAGCCAAGACCGAACCAATGAAAAGAAAGAAATATAGGAGATAGATAAGGATTTCACCTTTGAGGCTCATTGACGGTTGCGGGGGGCTGCCCTTGCCATCCACTGCAGAGTAAAAAAAAACCCAAAATCAATTGACATTTGACCGTCAAATTATAGAACACTGACAGGCAAATGCAAATAATTAATGGCTAGGATTAAAGTTGCTTAACATAATGGGAAAAAATAGGTTGTATGCAAGTTACATGTACACATTTCGTGGCTATGGCTTTGGTATTTGGTTTTGCCACTGGTGTTCTACAGAAAAGCCACAGCCATAGACAATGATAATCATATCTAACAAGGTCATGTGCTCTCCCAAGGTAAGAAATTGAGGTACTAAATACTGACATTTCTTTTCCTGTAATGTTTTTGGGGGTGCAAATGTGTATTTGTTTGTATGCCGAGTGCAAAAGTGTTAGATAGATTTTGTAACAATCACACTGGAGAGGATATTTTGGAACAGTTACATGTAACTTTAAACAAAAAGGATTCTTTTGCTCTTCAAGTAAGGCCAAGAAGATTGAACAGAAATTCCCGAGAGTTTAGCTCTGGGTGGATTGTTATCAGTGGAGGGAATTTTTCAAGGACTAACCATTTGCTCAGGATTAAATTCAGTAACTTTAAACCAGATTTGTTAATCCAACCAATCACAAGAAGGTCCACAGGGCATGAACAATGGTAAGTGGTCATCCATATCACAGTTCATTCGAAAAGCCTGTGACGTGTCTTAAAGGGGTAGTGTGATTGACTTTTGAAGACTAGAGTAGAAAACTGACGTTTCTTTGGCTACTTACATACTGACTTGGGGACGCATCCGTCTGTGATTTGGAGATAACCCTCCTCACATTCACACAGGAAGCTCCCTGGAACGTTCTTGCAAAACATGTGATCCTTCTTACACGTCTCATCCGTTTCGCACTCGTCTATATCTGAATTTAGACAGGATTAGAAACGCAGTCAGGTGGGATAGGCCTACACAGAGTGATGCGTTTCAACTCTTGCCTGATGCCAGCATTGGAAAAGTTGTCTTATGAGTACACGTGACCTGAATGTTTTTGTACAGGTAGCCTCAATGTAAAGGTGTCCACAATGGACAGATGAACACAACAAACAGGTGACAAGAGTGAATAACGACAGGTACATGTACGT